CTCAGAAAATTGCTTTCTATTTTTAATATTCACTAGCTAACAATATCGTCGCGGTTAACAATAAATTTTTTAAATTGCACACATATTTTATAATTTTATAACTGTTAATATACTACACTTGACACTTTATAGATTCTTTTTTATCTATAAAATTAAAATATAAATATAGATTAAAAATGAAAGAAGAATCCAACATGAAAATTTGCCTTTGGTTGTACAAAATGACATTATACATTATCGAATCATCGGCTGCCCAAGTGTTAATAAACGGACACGTGTAACAAAGCAGAGACGCGCAGTCAATTGAATCATCTGTTTGACGCTAAAATATTGAGAGAATACACACGCATGGCTACGCATCTTTGCGGATAACGTTGAACTCCTAGGGAAAATATGACTTTTGCACGAGCAGTTAGTCCTCGAGCTGTTGACTCTAGTAATTGAAACAGTCGATATTTATTTAATCGATGATTTTTTGAACAGCCGCACTTGGGTAATCGATTCGCGACAACAATATCCGTTCAGCCATTTTTGAATTCCCTCGTACCTTCTTTTTCTTTTTTTTTTTTTTTTTTTTTTTTTTTTTATTCTATCACGTTTGCATAAAAGTTCACATCGTCGCGCGTGAAAAGTGTGGCAGCGTAGCCATTGTGTTTGTTATAATCGCATGCTCGTATATAATGCTCGAACGATCTAAGAAGCTTTGCATAAATTACAAAGCTGCCACTGTCCACATCTCTCTTTCTCTCTCCTGTTCTTTCATCCCTTATTTATCGCCGATAACGAGACGCGACTTTGCGATGCGAGTTTTGTATAAATTACACACAATCCATTTAAAGCTCCCGGAATTTTTGATCGATCGCAATTTCCACGCGGCGATCCCGTTGGCAATTTATCATGTTGGCCCCCGCTCTTCCGAAATTATCAGGTTATTGGAAGATCCATTGTACCGGGCCGAAACGAACGAGGATAATTTCCTCTGCATCGCGGAATACGTTGAACGTTATCGAACGGTATGTATAATTAAAAGAAAGTAAAAAAAAGAAAGAAGAAGAAGAAAATGAAATGAGAGGAAAATAGAAACTGAGATGAACTGGAGAATAAATTCAACCGTCTGAAACGCTCGTGACGATGTTCGTGAGTTTGTTTTTATTTTAACCGATCATTGCTCTTTACGAATTTAGGCTATTTTTTTTTTTTTTTTTTTTTTTTTTGACAGACGATATGATAGGAAATTCGAGAGGCGACGATGATTGAAAGGTCAAGTTTGAATTTACATATTTCGATGTTATTGTTCCAGGACCGAATTTTGTCAGCTCGTTTGCGTACGAAGATTACGTCTTCTTCTTTTATCGAGAGACTGCCGTCGAGTACATGAACTGTGGCAAGGTAAGATTTGCGAAATATCACGCTGTGTATTCTGTCTCTTCGAAATCGAAGACCGTCTTGCGCTAAAACAAATAATCATATCATATCATCGATACAATTTTTATCAATGTCGAAGAATTTGAGTGATCCTCACCTCATTATGTTTCCAACGGTACAAAGGGAAATACCATTAAACGAAAATTGATAGTTCACTTTTACGTTGGAATGACGTGCCACGTAATATAATTTTCACGTCCACGATAATAATTTTTCTGTGTCCCAAATTGCGACACTTTCTCAGTTTTTTAAGTATATTTAAATATAACCCAGGCAAAACAGATAGACAAGTTTATTGCTTCTCAATCATTTCTATCCAGTGATGTTATCGACGAATTGTACACAGTTCGGTCTCTCGTTATGGTCCGCGAGCCAGTTGCCAGCGCAAGGGGTTAAAAATCACTCAACGGAGTCATCGTTCAGTCACCTAATTATTACAACATTAACTGTGCGCATTTAAGGTTCGTTCAAACTCCCATCTCGCAATTGCAACTTTCAAGCATTTTCAAGCGTTGGAATACTCACGCACGCGTCGTTCATCTCGCAATTTTCACGCGTCGAGGAATTCCTCTTTTCCATCGACGCCGTTGGCGAAGCTAACCGGGAATAATAGCCAGATGGAGGTCAGAAGCGAAAGACGGTCTCCGAGAGCTAAAGAACAGGAGAAGAATCGAAGGAGAGGCCGATTGTTCGTGAGCAAGCGGGTCACATTTGTGTTTTAGGCGGTGTACTCGCGGGTCGGTAGAGTGTGCCAGCACGACAAGGGCGGACCTCATGCGTTCAGCGACAGATGGACGAGCTTCCTGAAAGCGAGGCTCAACTGTTCCGTACCTGGCGAATACCCTTTCTATTTCAATGAAATACGTGAGTAGATTGCCTGCATGTACACGCCTCGTATATATTATTATACCTATGTACGTACGTACGTACGTGTACGATCTATCGTGGTATGACGTTTGCCGAGACCCACGTCGAGTGCACTCTCTCGGCTCCCCCCGTGTGTCGGACAGAGGGGTTGGCCTAACCTATCGGTAGCAGGCTGCAGCACTCATCGAGTGGGATCCGACCGATTTTACAAACGCAACCGGCCGACGCCGTTGCAAAAGACGCGCGCGAAATTTATCGTTTGTCTGGAAGGATCAGGATGGTAGAATGCTGTAAAAAGTCGAGAGTTTCAGCTTTCGGCGGCACGTGTAATTTTTCAGATTGGACTAGAGTTTCGTTTAGAAACGAGGATGAATTTGTCAACAGGTTGATCCAAGACGCACTGATATAATTCTCACGAATCGTGTCTCCTCTTTGAAACACCGGACTCGTTGACAACGCGAGATTTATCGTTTTTCTGGAGGATTTGTGAAAAATTGAACTTAAGAGAAATAACACGTACTGTGTGTAATTTTGAAACTAGATATTTACTAGAATTTTGTCGAAAAACAGTGATAAAATATGTGAATTGATGCAAAGTTCAGTAACTTTCATCGGTGTCTAATAGTCTTAGTAACTCTTATGAATCATCCAATCTTCGAATTGTGATTCATCTGATCTTTGAAAAAATTTTAGACTCAGTAATTTGTAATATGGAAAAACACGCTACGAGGTTTGTAGTATAAATTTGAAGAAGAATTTTCTACGATCTACGTGCATACATAAATATCTGGACACTAGACGATTTGTAACAGAATATGTAACAGAATTTGAATTCGATCGAAGTATAGAAATTAATGATGAATTGGTTACGGGTATCAGAGGTGGTGCTTACGATCTTCTCGTGAAATTAATAAACCATAAATCTGCGGGAGTAATTCATATTTACGATATATATATGCTACCACTTACAGTTGCTAAACATTTTGCAACTCGGTTAACGCTGCAGTGAAACTCGATTGCTACAATCACATCGATCGAGTGATTAAAGTATAGAAATTACAATTTACAGAGATTATAAAAGTATTTAAACAACCACAGCTTTTATTATCTTATAGCGCGATAATTAATTAAATTATTAATCACGTGAGACAAAGTAAAATAAAATCCAACCAAAGTACATCTTGAGTCGAAAAATAAAACGAATTGCGTCCGGACACTTTCGAACAGTGCAACATATCACGTGTACGCGTAGGAAAATTAACTGGGGAATAACTATTTCACGCGACGCCGCTTCGAAGTTTATAATCACCGGTGAAATTAACATACGGGCACGAGCAGCGTAATTAAATTTCGTTAAAGAAGGAACTGACAATTCGGCCAGTGAAATTTGTACACGAAGAATCTGGGAATGGCCTTTGTGGGCACAAAGGTCTGGCAATGTAATCTCCAAATAGAGATCAAATTTTGGCTAAAAGCAAGGGTGAATGTATGCATAGGTTAATTGGGCTCGAGTCCAAGGTCCAAATCGTCTAACAACTCTCAAGGATCATGCTCTCCAATTTTCTATCTCGTACGCGATTCACGTGTAATGCAACGTCATTTCGCCGGTTTCATTATGCTTTCATTACTCGCCGCCATTAATGGAAAAACAGGCAGAGGTTAACGTTTCGTTGTTCATGATTCAAAAGTACGTGGACGCTCGCTTAATTCTTGCAACTGAGTTCGAATAAATTTCGCGATGGTAACAAACGTGTTAAAATTGATATTCGATGTGCACGAGTCAAAATAAGTTGAATTTGAATGAATGAACGTTTCAAATGAATTTTTAATTCATCTCTCTGGTTAATCAATTCAATTTCACTCTTCGAACTTTAAAAATTTAGCTGTCGTTGTATATGTATGTATCTGCATAATGAAAACAAATTTCATAAAAATATCAAGCATTCACGTACCTTTGAGCAGCAGTGTTACGCATTATTGGAAAATATCCAAGCACTTTGGATCGAATCCATACGTCGTTATTAACTCGCAAATTGACTCTAAAAAAAAAAAAACAGATCCCGTTGCAACGTCCTTAATTGAAACAATAAACCAGTCGCCAAGAGAAAGAGAAATAAACACACAAAATCTCAAGAATCTGTTCTTCACTCTTACGTCAATAGTGTCTGAGTAATTACTAGCTGGCAATTTCGAGAATGCAACGTAAATTGGCGAGAGAGAAAGAGAGAGAGAGAAAGAGAGATCGCTTTCCGGTTATAAATATCGTCTCGCAGATAAGACACCAGCGGATATTCCTTTAACGGAGGAGCCTATTGGAAAATCCATTCAGCTTGATCCTTCCCTCTTTCTCTCGAGGCCCAGTATCTTACTTGTGTATCAACGGCTGCTCGCGTAATTCTTCTTTCCGGGGCGCGTTTTATCGCGGTCGATCGTCTCGAACGCCCTTCCCTCCCCCTTTCATTCCGCGGAATGGCGAACAGAAGAGTAGCAATCGGATGGGAGACGTTGCAATTATGACTTAACGATAAGGTGACGAGGCAAATGGATTTGATTCCTCTGCTCGGCCACCGCGCACTTCCCTTCAATATCCAATTACACTCACACTCCTTCCTCTCTTTCTCTTATTCCACTCTTTTCTCGAGTTTTGCCCTCTTCGCCTCTGCTCAGCGGATTTTCCCATTGCTGACCCACCGATTTCCTTCCTCCTACGGCGGGCGGTGCTTCCTTTCGTCCAGCCAAACTAGTTTCCCTTATCGCCGCCACTTATTACATTATCATTCCGCCGCGTTTTATAGAGTTCCCTCCCCACACCGCGCTCTAATATCTTTCTGCTGCGTCACGCGAATAACAATCGAACGATTTTTCTTCGGCTACGTCGCCTCGTCTCGTCTCGTCTCGTTCCGCTCGGATCGGATTCGCTTCGCTTCGTTTCGTTTCGTTTCGTTTCGTTTCTTATCGTTGGGAGTTGGGAATGGAATGCCAGGCGTTCCGTGAGAAGCAACTGTTTGGCGGAGATCGAGATCGAGATTTCGGAACCGATTGAATTTTCTTCTCTGCTGGACCGATACCGAAGAAACGTGTTTGAAATAGAGTGGCGTACTGTCGAAGGATCCAGCGTTTAGACGTTGTCCGTGGTGGTGATTCTGGATCGTATATACGATGCTCTAGATGTAACTTTGTCTTTTTGTATGAAGTTTTAATCCTTCGGTGCGTTAGTCTGACTTCTGTGCATCAATTTTGTTAGAAATTGTCTGCTAAGTGCAATTTTATTTTATATATTTTAGTGAAGGGAACGAATGATCATTTTGATCGATGAACGCGCGCCACGATTTAAAAATAGCCAATTTTTCTTTCGTACTATTTTAATAATGTGTATTTATTTCTACGGCAGTAAGAATTGTATTTGCGTTCTTTTAACTATTTTGTAGATTGCCATTTACTTGATGTGTTCGTGTGCATTCTGTGTTATATAGATCGATATTGTAATATATATAATATATAATTTTTAATGTATTACAAATATTATAATATTAATGTGTTACAATAGTCGTAACAATGTATTTTTACGAAAGACCATTCAAACTTTTGAGAAATCGTCGTGCTAGACGATTCAAAGGAATTAAATTTTCCATCTTTCAATTTTTCTATTTTTCGATCGCTCCGTAGTATTATCTTTGTTAAAGGGTTAAAAGATTTCTCTCGTGTATAGTGCTTATCAATAAGTATGTCGTCGAGGTTTCTTCAGAACAGTTCTGAAAAATGAAAGGTCCTTTCAAAAGAGTCTGAGTCAATAAACGAATTAATGTGAAATAAATGTGATCACAGGATTTTTACGAGTATTAAAACTTTTGTAAACGTAATTGAAGAAATGGTGGTTTATTTAAACCGTGTAAAGCTCTTCGTACGTGAGTTTGAAAGAAAATCCGTGACGAAATAAGGTTTATGATGGAACAAGAAACTCAAGAAAGCGTGGACGAAAGCAAAATGGCTGATCTTGGACGGATATTGGATCCTGTGCACGGTCACCAATCAATTAGGATGCATTGTGAACACGACATCTTGGAGCTTTTCATTTTTGATGACCACGTGTCATAAACAAAGTTTTCAATCAACGGATTTTCAACGTCGAAACAGGTCAAGAGTTAATTGAGCGAGAGGAGCGACGTGTGAATTATGCGTTTGCAACTATACAGGCTGGACACCGACACGTTGTCCGTGGCATTAGCCTGAAACACGCGTTGAAATTAATTGAAACGAACCGCCAGATAAGAAGAAATAGTCAGATTCCGTATATAATACGGAATTGTTCGTCGTTGGAGGCTAACGAAACTGAAATCAACTTGTTCTCAAATATCTTTTTAAAGCGATGTTTGATAAAAAGGAGACAAAAAAAAGAAATAACCCAGATAAAAGTTTCTTCCTTTCTACCGTGGAATAAGAATGTGCCAAGAAAAACATAGATCTGTTTGAAGTATGAAATACGAATAATCTTGAAAACGAATAGGATTCTCGTGTTTCCCCTTCGAAACTGCGAAACTTTCGTATTTCGATGTATGTATATAGTTCCCTAGAAAATGCCTGATTTCCGAGATACTTCGATCTAAAAATCTCAAATGAACACTTTGTATAGTTTATGAAAAAAATCATTCAAATCTCTGTTACAAATTTTCGCAGAAAGTTTCTGTGAAAACGTTACTGATGATTAGTCATTTTGGTAACTTTGATAGTTCTGTTAATGTTTTATTAATGTGAAAGGTGAGATTTCTAGTAATAGTAATTGCTTGAAATAGTACTTGCCGATTTCTTTACAGTATGACAACGAAGACTGAAATATTCATTACAGCATTATATTAGCTCATGATTCGATTACCAAATCATGAGTATGTCTGGCAACCTCATCATACCTCATCATCGTACGGAAATGATTATCCATCTAAGAGAATGGAAATATTCCCCGATTAATACGAATGTTTTAAAATAATTAAAATATGATGAAT